TTTTTTTTATATATATATATATATATATATATATATATATATGTGTGTGTGTGTGTGTGTATATAGACTAACATGAGACATATTGACTAAACTATGGAATAGTTACACCTTTTTAGCACACTTCCATTTTAAAGTTTATGTAAGTGTTTATGTGTTTAGTTCTATATATTATAACATTCTGCAGTATGTTAATTAATTTAATTAAGTAAAACATACAGTTGTTGCCTACAGGAGATGTGTAATAAGAAATTAGGTCATGATGAGACATTAATTATATTCTTTGGCAACAGTAAATGATGAGAAATATTCTGACTCAAGACACATCTCATTTCCAATAATGATAGCCTGTGTTATCAGAGTGCTTGTCTGCTAGCTTTACACATTACGGCACGCTTCATGAGCACAGAACAGGCTGGGCAAGTTAGCACACGCAAAGGGAGTCTACTTTTAGACCATTATTTATATATGTTACCTTAACAGTCCTTATTTGATCCCCACCAGTGGATATATATGGGACATTAGGAGAAGTACACTGTAAAAAATGTGTGGATTTATATTATGTTACTGGCTATTACAGTAGCTAATGTATTCCTCATTTGTTTACTACTGAATGACAACATTATCTGTGTTTTCATTGCAGTAATGAACATTCAATGTGGCATGAATTAATTATGCTGCTGCATTTTTCACTATTTGCTGGTTTAGTTGCTGTATCACCTGTTTTTGTTATCACTTATAGTTACTTTTCTTGTAATGTTCAGATATTTTTATATCTATATTTTTATATAACAAATGAGAATTTGATGATTGAGTTGATACACTTTCTGTAATTTAACATCCATTAACTTTAAAATTATAACCTATAGAAGTGAGAGAAAAAAATTATGGGTAACACTTTACTTGAAGGGGTGTGCATAAGACTGACATGACACCTACATAATCATGACATGACACATGTCATGAATATGAAGGAGGTTTTATGCATGTTTATGACAACTGTCATTAAGTGTCATTCGCTCAGTTATGTCATTTTTAATGCAAATATGACATTATTTGACCTAACCCTAACCTAACCCTACCCCTACCCTTACCCCTAACCATAGCCCATAACAAAGACATCTCAAACAATGTCATCTTTGCATTAAAAATTACATAACTGAGCGAATGACACTTAATGACAGTTGTCATAAACATGCATAAAAAACCTTCATATTCATGACATGTGTCATGTCATGATTATGAAGGTGTCATGACAGTCTTATGCACACCCCTTCAAGTAAAGTGTAACCAAATTATGTTTCAAAGCAGTTTTTTAATTGTTTCTTTGTTCAAGCTGCCATAAATATTCTATGTATATAATAGCAAGAAGTTTTATTAGGTAAAGACACTTTTTTGAGTCATTCACACCCATTTTTCCACAGAAGGGAAGTAATTTCACAGAAAGTTATCATTTCAAACTATGCATGACTAATGTGGAGAACCCAACAGCACCTGAATGTGTTGAAATAAATAATGATATCGTTGTGGGGAGGTGATGTGCTGTGGAAAAAGGAAGGGCTTCTTCAGAGGAAACCTTTTGTAGCTTTAGGATTTCAGGAAATACAAGTACTGAAATAGTTACTAACTAAAGAATAATGACTCTTATAATAAAGAAGCAGAAATAGATGTTTGGACCCTAAAATATACAAAATTTCATAGTAGGCATTTCTAGTTCGATTTCACATCACTAACGTCACAAAATAACTGCATAAGTTAAAGTTACATTCTTATTAGGTCACTTGCACCATGAACCACAGGTTTCTGCCTAACCAATATTTTTTACTCTGTTTATTTTGAAGAACCCATTCCAAATATCCAAATTCTGCCATGTATTTACCATAAAGCAGGTGTTTTTATTTAACCTTGGAAAATAATCTTTCTCACCAGGATGTTGAAGCGACAAGCTCCCGAAGAAAAAAGCAGAACCAGTCTATCAGCGTCTCTCACACCCCTGCAGGCGAACTTTCCCATTGTTTTATATTGCAAAGTCTTATCGCATATCTCATAGCACAGTGGACCGAATTGAGAAAGGCAAACAATATGACGAGTTTGGCAATGTTTTGACACCATCATGTTGTTTTAAGCATGTGTGACTTTCTTCTGTGGAACAAAAAGAAGAAACAGCACTAATTTCATGTTCCACAGAAGAAAGAAAGTCTTATGGGTGAATAAATGAGGACAGAATGTTAATTGCTGGGTGAACTTAAACCCAACTGTCCTACATTCAGAATAAAAGTCACTGCACACCACTGTTTAATCATGTAGTTTTCTCTTTAAAAAACTCCAATAACTGTATAGGGGAATGAATTAAAAAGGAACTTTTTTTTCCCCTCTTCTTTACGTTTTTTTTTTTTACTTTTAAATCAACTTTCTTGTTGTTCCTTGTTCTATTTGATTCATATAATAGAATTGATAGTATCATCCTTATGTAGTGTCTCTAATGATGGATTTAATTCAATAATTGTGGTGTTTTTTACCCCTGGCGCCCGAACCCAATCTTTTACGGTCAAATACCGTCTCAGAAGTGGCGCCCGAACAGGGACCTTCAGATGTTGTGTGTTTATTCGCCTATTGTGATTATTTGTGTAATTATGGAACCCTGTTCTCCTCTTATACATTTGACTGGATCTGGAGATGATAGCAGTCTGGGACCATTTCATGATAGCCCTTCTACTCCTCAGAATGTGGAGCGGTCTTTATTAGACGATGACACAGGTTTAGAACAACCATTTCTTGCTGTCCCTCTGATTGGTTCAGGGAACCAAGCAGATGATTTAACTATCTTTTCTCAGGCAATTGATTAACTTAAAAGTGTATTTGTGGACACTGTAGCCTGGTAGAAAAAATGGTTTGAGGAAAATGCTAAACTTTGTGCTAGAGACATTCCTAAAGCGACATTAGTAGTAGTTGAAAAGGCTCAAACTGCTTTTTTGGAGGTCCTTAATGATCGTATGCAATTTTTTTTTACCAATCAGACAATTGATTAATTATTTGCTGATTTATTTGTCACTCATTTATTGGTGTAAGCTGTTTAAAAGGTAAATGTTCCTGGGCCTGGAATTAAAATTGTTGTTTTATTTATTTATTTCCTTTTCTTTTCCTGTGTTGAATATGATATACTGAATTATGTGGTGATATGATTGGAATTGATTTTGAATAGAAATCTTTTAAATCAACTTTCTTGTTGTTCCTTGTTCTATTTGATTCATATAATATAATTGATAGTGTCATCCTTATATGTAGTGTGTCACGAATCATGTCCATGGACTTCCGTTCGATCGCCACCAGAGGTCACCCTTCTGTTACATTGACTCTCGCACTACACAAACTGTTACACATCACCCTGGACTACATTTCCCATGCTCCATTGCACTAATCACTTTTCACTGGAGGAAGCGTTATTATGGATTATAGATATTTTGGCCAGAAGTGATGGTTTACAGTTACAACACCTTGATGGATTTCATGAACTCATTGCGGTCAATTAATTCAATCTTAAAAATGTAATAAATAAACAAATAACATTCAAAATAAAACAATTACTAAGAAAGTTTTTTTTAAAGAAAACATATTTTATTTACCTGCATGTCATGAGACCATTAACTGACATGAAAGAACTATGAATATTAAATATTAAATTAAAATATCAGGGGGTATGCCCACTACATATTTTATGCCAAAGGGGTTCGGCTGACAAAAAGTTTGGGAATCCCTGCTATAGGTGATATGCGGGTTGCCTGTGTCATGCATGCCGGGGGTCCATAGTACATTCATAAGACACTATATGTGACCCTGGAGCACAAAAGCAGTCTTAAGTCGCTGGGGTATATTTGTAGCAATAGCCAAAAATACATTGTATGGGTCAAAATTATTGATTTTTCTTTTATGCCAAAAATCATTAGGATATTAAGTAAAGATCATGTTCCATGAAGATATTTTGTACATTTCCTACCGTAAATATATCAAAACTTAATTTTTGATTAGTAATATGCATTGAACTTCATTTGGACAACTTTAAAGGAGATTTATCTTTTTATAGGAGATTTTTTTGCACCCTCAGATTCCAGACTTTCAAATAGTTGTATCATAACAAACCATACATCAATGGAAAGATCATTTATTCAGCTTTCAGATGATGCATAAATCCCAATTTTGAAAAATTGACCTTGGTTTTGTGGTCCAGGGTCACATAAAATATTATAAATATCAATATTTTAAATGAATAAATTAAATAATATAAATTATATATATATATATATATGTTGAATTAACTTGCATGTAATGCATTTATTTTAATAAATTAAATTATATTTAAATTTATGCATTTTTTGTCAGTACCGAAACAACTTGGATTTTATTTATTATATGTTATTTCATCGTTAAAAATGTTGAAACAAGATTATATGCTAAATGGATGTAAAAAGGTTAACAAAATACTTGTAGATCAACACAGAAATGTTAGCTGCCCATAAAGTGCATTTCAAACCATGTTCTGTATTGGTAAGATGCTGTCTTAGAAGCTAAACAGTGAGGCAGCACACTAGAGATTGGGACGGACCCTCTGTGCCCTAAAATGCCTCCTCAGGTGTTGTTCAGTGTGTGTTGGTTGTAAATGTCCTGTTGTGTGTGTTCAGGCTGGTGGCGGAGTGGCGTCTGTCTCGTGGTGTTGAGGAACAGACTCAAGCCTTTTTTGAAGGATTTAATGAGATTCTTCCGCAGCAGTACCTGCAGTATTTCGATGCCAAAGAGCTGGAGGTGAGAGACGCTGATATAAAATCCCTCAAGTCCCACGTACAGAGCTGCCTCAAAATATGTGTGCACTTGAGTCACACTTAAGCATATCTGAATGTCATTGCATTGCATAACAAAATGCACTGACATTCGGATATATGTGCAAATGCTTTAACAAATGCTCTGTACATTCCTAAGCTTGCAGAATCAAACGTCATCTTATTTAAATACTGTTGCATCTATTCTGTAATCAACCATGTTTTTGTGTGTTCTAGGTGATGTTGTGTGGGATGCAAGAAATAGATCTAAATGACTGGCAGAGAAACAGCATTTACAGACATTACACCTCCACCAGTAAACAGATCCTGTGGTTCTGGCAGGTAATGACGCAATAATCATTTTAAATGAATAATTATTCAGATTGCACCAAGACACTCTCTCTTTTCTCTGTAGTTTATTAAAGAGATGGACAATGAGAAGCGCATGAGACTGTTGCAGTTCGTCACTGGTACCTGCCGTCTGCCTGTCGGAGGCTTTGCAGACCTGATGGGTGAGTT